GAGGTGGACGGGGGAGGGGGAGGGGAGAGGAAAAAAATCTGGAAAGGCAGTGGCATCTACATACAAGTGGGCCTTTTGGGAGATGATTAGCATTAGATAAGGTTATCAATGCAGAGTCCCCAAGATTGAATCTTCTTCCCTTTATAAGAAAGGAAGCGAGACCAGAGGAGGTTCCCTGTCTATCCTCAGATGGTGTGTTATGCTGCCTTGGGTCTCTCTGCTTGTAAGGTTGGGAGGCCCCTCAAACTTGGGCCTCCTACCCATGAGCTAAAATACACCTCTTTTTCCTCTTTATAAACTTATGCAGATTGTGGTATTCCATGAATAGCAACAGAAAACTAACTAGTATGTAGTTCACGGCAAATAATTTTTGGTACCAATCCTCATAAAATGTCTCTGAGCAAGACCTTGATTCACCAAATAGTTTCTCTAGAAGCAACAATCTCCCCTGAAAGATGTTTTAGGAGAGAGTAAAATAGCATTGAATCCCTTTGTGTGTTCAGATTAGACTGATTCCAGTAATCACCCACTCTCTTTGGGCCCAAGTAATTCAGATATTCTGCAGAAATATGATCATTGTATCCATATTTATTGCTTAGCTGACATGGTAAAATTTTAATTATACTGCCTTCTTATTTTTCCAATAATGCCTCACAGGTAACATTCTGGAAATGTTGAACAAAGATTCAGACTCATAACAAACTAATCAGGTTAATTTACTGAATAATAATTTTTTATGGAAACATTTGTATCAGTGAACAGCTTTATAAATGCAATTGTGTTAAAGCCTGTTTTCCTGAAATGTTAAAAAAAAAAAAAGATTTTCCATATGTTGAAAACATCTTAAGCATATGATGCAAGTGAAAATAGGTGTTTGCTGTAAATGTGTTAGTTGTAGAAAATGAAAAAAATGGATTCTAATAAATACATTGAATTTAGCAGGTACAGAAGGTACATTTGATAACTTCTTTAAAAGATAAAGATGAGCTAGTGAAAAATGAATAATTCATGTATTCTCCTGGGAAGTCACCACTATTGCTAATGTTTTCAAATTTACCTTTATTTGTTAGAGTTTTACAAGTACAATTATCATTTAAACCCCAATGATATTTTCAGGCTTATACCAAAAAGAGACACTTCCTTTCCCATGACATACCATGGCCAAGCCCTAATTCTCAGAAATAACCATTTCATTATTTCAAAATGGTTTGATTATACTGCTTTTTGCCTTAAGTTTAGATTTTGTTCAGGGTAGATAGATGCTTCTCTCTCTGATTAGCCCATGTGATCTCTATTCCCTTCCTTATGTCTTCCAAAGTTGATTCAGATTTTGACATCTCACAGTCAAAATAAAATTCTATGGGAGGGATGCTGGGGATTGAACTCAGGGCCTTGTTCATGTAAGGTAAGCACTCCACCAACTGAGCTATATCCCCAGCACTAAAATTATTCTTATTATACAAATATTATTAACTATTACAGAAAGTATATTATACTAATTCTATTTCCCTGTACAACTTTTTGTTCTTGCTAGGTTTTATGGGTGGTATCTGATTTCTATGTGAATTTTAATGTTAATGTTTTTTTCTTCCTAAATCTTTAACAGATATTCCAAACAGATATTATGATTATTTTCCAAATATTTAAATACAATTTAAATTATGTCTTCTCCTAATATTTAAATATGGAAATTTCTTCTATCCATGCTTATATTCCTATCCCCCACTCTTCTGGATTAATCTATAGAGAAGTGTTTTGTATTCTGTGTTCCAATCGAATGGGCTATTCTCAAGGTGATAGCTACAGACCCTACTATGGATAGTTTTTATCAAGTGCAGTTTTCTCTGGACAGGTTGGCTGTGTGAAACCATCTATTTCTTAGACCTCATGTTTGCCTTTCTCTTATTTTTGACTTTTTTTCATAATACATATAAATTAAGGGTGCATCTGAGGCGACATTTTTGAAAACTTGTCTTTTTTCCCCTTTTTATGCTTTATTAATAATTTCTTTGATCAAGTTTTGAAATTACTTTCCTTAGAAATCTTGAGGTTATTCTTCCATTATCTCTTAGCTTCCAATGTTTTGTTCCAAAAGGATAATACCATCCTGGTCCTTTGCCCTATTCTGAATATTTTAATTTCGTTCCATGTTTTAGAAAATTTGACTCTGATATACATTACCCCGTGAGTCTTTTACTTTTCTTCATTTATTGTTTGGGGCCCTTTATGCCACCATAAATATAGAGATTCACATCCTTCAGTTTCAGACACGTGGATTTTTAGAGAATAACCACTTCCTTTGATGAGGGGCGAGGGAGGCACACTCATCCATTGCTAGTGGGACTGCAAATTGGTGCAAATAATCTGGAATGCAGTATGGAGATTTCTTAGAAAACTTTGAATGGAACCATCATTTGACCCAGCTATCCCACTCCTCAGTCTATAGCTAAAGGACTTGAAAACAGCATACTATAGTAATGCAGCCACATTAATGTTTATAGCTGCACAGTTTACAATAGCTCAACTATGGAACCAACCAAGATACCATTCAATAGATGAAAATGTGATATATATATATACACAATGGAATATTACTCAGAATTGAATGAGAATAAAATTAGGGCATTTGCAGGTAAATGGATGGAGTTGGAGAATATTATGCTAAGCAAAGTAAGCCAATCCCCCCCCAAAACCAAAGGCACAGTTCTGTGAAACTAATATAGTAATTTTTTTTTGTCTGAGCCCATAAAAAACTCCTCAGTCCATAATTCTTTAAAAGTTGATATTACTTGAACTTTAGAGTAAGTAGCAAATAATAAGTTCCTTGAAATTAAAAACAAGAGGGATGTTACTGCTAACCCCATAACTGAACTCCAGTGGTATTTATAGATTAATTTTGATTAGTCTATACATGCTCTATGGTACTTTTTTCTTCTTTTAATTTAATTAATTATGTGTATATGACAGCAGAATGCATTTTGATTCATTGCCCACAATTGCAGCACAACTTTACATTTCTCTGGGTATACATGATATAGCTTTGCACTATATGTACAGTCATATATGTATCTAGGGTAATAATCTCTATCTCATTCCACCATCTTTTCTACCCCTATGCCCCCTCCCTTTTTTCTCCCTCCCCTTTGCCCCATCAAAGTTCCTCCATCCCCCCCCCCCCTCCATTATGGATCAGCATCCACTTATCAGAGAGAACATTTGGCCTTTGATTTTGGGGGATTGGATTGTGTCACTTAGCATGATATTCTTCAACTCCATTCATTTACCTGCAAATGCCATCATTTTATTCTCTTTTAAGCCTGAGTAATATTCCATTATGTATATTTACCACAGTTTCTTTATGGTAATTTAATAAATAGCAACATTCAGTTTGATCATCAGCTCCACTAAGACCACAATAAAACTAAAAATATAAAAAGGATCAAATCCAAAATTGTCTTTATAACAGTGTGATATGGAAGATGTACCCCACTGGTGAGTATCAACTATTTCAATAGAGAAACAGACCTGCTCTCTTCTCTGGTCAGGAAGTGGTTTTTTGTTGTTGTTGTTGTTGTTGTTATTGTTCTTTGTTTGGGTTTTTTTTTTTTTTTAGTAAAACCAAAAAGCAATAAAAATTCAGTTGCTATAAAGCATGAACAATGTTGTGGTGTGAAGAAAGCTCAAGTGAAAAATGAGTTTAAAAATATGTGTTTGACGAATGTTCTTTCATTCAAACTTATTGAAGATATTTGAGGCACAAATGTTTCATAGGTATATACTACCAACATTTAGAAATGAATTGTACCAATTCTCTACGATCTTTCCAAGAATGAAGTTACACATGGAGTATGTCTTTAGTTATTTTATGAGGCCAACATTATCCTGATATCAAAAGCAAACAAAGACATTACAATAAAATAAAAATACAAATAAAATCTAATGAATGTGGGTGTGAAAATCCTCAACAGAATATGAGTCAATATTAGTAAATCAAATCTAACAATGTACAAAAATCATTATATACTATGACCAAGTGGAATTTTTTCAGGGATGCAAAAATGAAAAAATCAATTGATGTAATCTATCATATCAACAGGCTAAGAAATAAAAATTTTATGATCATACAAATAAAATAAACATTTGAAAATAGTTGTTTCTCAATCATGGTAAATAGGTACTGCAAACAACTACAACTTGACAAAGGACATATTGCAAAAATGCCTAAAGCTAATATTGTAAGTATTGGTGAGAAACTTGGAGCTTCCCTGATAACATCAGGAATAAGGTAAGTATGTCCCTTTCACCACACCTTTTCTTTATCATCCTAGCTAGTGCAATAAGAAGAAAATGAAGTAAAAGATATACAGATTGGTAAAGAAGAAGCAAACCTATTTGTTTGAAGGCAACATGGTTGTTGATGTAGAAATACAAAAGAACCAAAAGAATTGACAAATTAATCCTTGAATTAAGAAGCAACTGTAGATGAATAGGGGGTCTGAAATACTCTGACCCTACCAATCTATATTTTCTCCATCACCTTTCTTGGAAGCTTGGGGTAGCGAGGGGGCATGTAAAACCTGGGCTGGATTGGAATTGGAGACACCATGAAAGTATATGATCTCATGAGATTGAGCTGCCTCCTTCTACCAAGCAACAGCTATTCACCTGAAAAAGAAAAAAAAAAAGGAATTATTACAAGCTGGTAGGATACAAGATTAATAGACAAAAGTCCAATCAGTTTCTTATGCACAAGTAATAAACAAATGGAATTTGAAATTTAAAATAGAATACCCTTTACATTAGCACACAAAATGAAATACTTAAGTATGATCCAACAACATATTCATAAGATCTATAAGAAAAACTAATGTAAGAAATCAAAAAGAACAAATATTTGGAGAGCTAATCCATGTTCATGGATAGACTAAAAAATCTGAAGATATCAGTTCTTTTCAATTTGATCTGTAGAAAGGTCATCCCAATCAAAACTCCAACAAGTAATAGAAAGAAGAAACTTATCCACAATAGCCACCACAATATTGAAGAGATGAACTGCAACTACTGCCCAAATTCTCATCTTACCTTAAAGCTGCAGTAATCAAGACAGTGCTATAGACATACAGTTAAGGGAAACAGAAGAAAGTGTTCCAAAATAGATCCACATTTTGGAATACAGACAACTGACTTTTTAAAATATTTTTTTATTTGTTGTTTTTAGATATATATGACAGTTGAGTGTATTTTGACATATTATACAGACATGGGGTGCAAACCATTACAGTTTTTATCCCATTCTTGAGGTTGAACATGATGTGGAGTTACACTGGCTGTGTATTCATTTATGAGCATAGGTAAGTTATGTCCAATTCATTCTACTATCTTTCCTATTCCCATCTCCCCTTCCCTTCAATCCTCTTTGTCAAGTCCAATGAACTTCTATACTTCTCCTCCCCACTCTCCCTTTTTATGGGTTATCATCCACATTTCAGAACATTTGACCTTTGGTTTTGGGGGACTGGCTTATGTTACTTAGCATGGTATTCTCCAGTTCCATTCATTTACCTGAAAATACCATTATTTCATTCTTCTTTATAGCTGAGTAATATTCCATTGTGTGTACAAACCACATTTTCTTTTTCCACTCATCAATTGAAGGGCACATCTGTTGGTTCCAAAGCTTGCCTATTTTTAATTGAGCTGCTATAAACATTGATGTGGCTACATCACTGTAGTATGCTGATTTTAAGTCCTTTGGTTATAGACTGAGAAGTGGGATAACTGAGTCAAATGGTGGTTCCATTCCAATTTTTTAAAGAAATCTCCATACTGCTTTCCAGAGTGGTTGTACCAGTTTACAGTCCCACCAGCAATGTATGAGTGAACCATTTCCCCCCACATCCCCACCAACATTTATTATTACTTGTATTCTTAATAATTTAGGCAACTGATCTTTGACACAAATGTAAACAATACAGTGGGAAAAAAGCAGTTTTAACAAATGATTCTGAGACAACTGGACATCTGCATACACACACACACAAAAAAAAAAAACAGACAGACTACATTCATTATAAAAATTAACTAAAAATGGATCATACACTCTTATGTAAAATGCAAACCTACAGAACTTCTAGAAGAAAACATAGAATAAAAAATTATAACATTGGACCTGGTAGTGGGTTTTTAGATACAATACCAAAACATGGTCATGAAATAAATTATCAATGGTATAAACTTCATCAAAATAAGAAACTTCCACACTATGAAAGACATGGTCAACAGAATGAGAAAGACAAGCAAAAGACTGGGAGAAAATGTTTATGAAGATACATCTGATAAAGGATTGTTTCTCAACCGTATACCAAATTCTTTTTGTAATATTTATTTTTAAGTTTTAGGTGGACACAATATCTTTATTTTACATTTGTGTGGTACTGAGGATCAAACCCAGTGCCTCATGCATGCTAGGCAAGCACTCTACCACTTTCACCTCCATTTACCAGATTCTTAAAACTCAACATTGAGAAATCTAACGACCAGATGAAACAATGGGTGAAAGACCAGACACCTCACCAAAGAAGGTATACAGGTGGCAAATAACCACATAAAAAAGATACTCAACATCATCTGTCATTAGAGCATCAAAGACTAAGGTTATGATATACCACTACATACCTGATAGAATGGCCAAATCCAAAGCACCAGTAACATGAAATTCTGTCAAGGATGCATAGAAATAGGAACTCTCATTTGTTACTTGCGGGAATACACAATAGCCAGATTTGAAGATATTTTGTCAGTTTTTTACAAAGTAAACAAACTTGTCGGATGAAGTGGTGCATGCTTGTAATCAAAACACCTCTGGAGGCTGAGGCAGGAGGATGGAGGGTTCAAAGCCAGCCTCAGCAACTTAGTGAATCACTGAACAACTCAGGGAGACCCTGTCTCTAGATAAAATTAAATAAAAGTTGGGGTGGAGGGCTGGCAGCTGGAAATGTGGTTTAATTGTTAAGTGCCCTTGGGTTCAATCTCTGGTACCAAAACAAACAAACAAATAACAACAATAAAAACTTAAACAAACTCTTCTTATATGACCAGAATTTTTGCTGCTTGTTATTTGCTCAAAGGAGTTGAAAATCTATGTGGATACAAAAACCTGCATGTGACGCTACATCGTGTACAACCATAGAAATGTAAAGTTGTGCTGCAATTGTGTACAATGAATCAAAATGCATTCTGCTATCATACATACTTACTTAAAATAAATTTTAAAAAGTCAAAATTAAAAAAAAAACAGCATGTGGCATGTTTATGGCAGCTTTATTCACCATTACCCAAACTTAGAAGCAACTAAGTTTTCCTTTTCTATGGATAGATAATTCCAAACAACTGATTATTATTCAGGGTCAAAAGGAAATGAGCAATGAAGCCATAAGAAGACATTGAATTAGGCTTATTTCAGCAACACATATCCTCAAATGAGAAAGCCTTTGAGGAACCTGAAATATGTGTCACTAAGTCCATCTGAAAGGTCTACAAACTGCATGATTGCAATTGTGTAACATTCCGGGAAAGGAAAAACAATAAAAAAGATCAGTAGTTGCTAGACACTGGTGGTACAAAGATGGATAGATACTCAGAGTGTGGATGATTTTAGGGTAATAGAATGATCTGTAAGATACTCTAGTGGTCAATACCTGTTTTTAAAACTTGTCAAAACCAACAGAATATATACCACCAAGAGGGAACTCAGTTGTAAATTATAGACTTCAAGCAGTAATGATATATTAATATGGATTCATTGATTATATCAATTATTCCACTGTGGGATCTTGCTAATGGGTGATAATACCTATGTGTGAAGACTCGGGTATATGGGAGCTCTTTCTACTTTTTTCTCAATTTCATTGTAAATCTCAAACTACTTTCAGATTCTTAATATATTAAAAATTGGAAGATACAGGTAAATAAAATAAAAAAGATACAAGTTTAAAAGAAAAGAAAACTAGTAAGACATGAACATAATATGCACTTTAAAAATTGGTGTTTCCTCTCCCTCAGGAATAAGAGCAATCCAAAGAGACCTTGAAGAAGGAATTCTTTGCGGTAAGAAGAATGGGTTTGTTAACTTTGTATGAGTCTGTTAACTTTGAAATATGCTCCCATACCTCTTGGCCCAGGATATAAAATCTGTGGTCTTTGCTAAGACCTTGACTTGAGAGATTTATTTATAGTTTTTTCATATGCACTTCAGTCACTCTACTAAGGTTCCATCAGCCATAAACTTTCCACTTGGAAATTCTCTCAATTTCTAAACATGAAACTACTACAAGCTACGGGTAGTTTGGGATTTCGGTTTCAATTTCCTCAAGTCCAAGGAATATGCCATACCACTTAGACTCTAGCCATGTATTAGCAGTTGGCAGTTTCTGCCTTTGACAGCTGACAGCTCGGCGAGGGAAAGCGTATTTTGAAAGCTGTGGGAATTCAATCATCAGCGATGCTTGCATAGACTCTTTTAAGGTATTGGGCCTGATTAAAGGAATGTGACTTTTGGAAGTGGGTATTACTATTTTGCAAAAGCAAAAAGAAAAAAAAATAATCCCTCAAGATCGAAATAGCCTATGGTGAGGAATCCTCTGTGTTCTAGCTCAGATAACTTCCATTTACCTATTTGTTTACACTTAATTTTCTTCATATTGTCCTATATGAGATTGTGTGGGCGTGTGTGTGTGTGTGTGTGTGTGTGTGTGTGCACATGCATATGTGATCTGTAGTTTTTATGTTGGGAGAAACCAGGCCAAGTGTAAAATTCAGATATAACTCAATTACAAAGTCCCCTCTTTTATGATCAGAAGGTACCAAATACAGGTGAAGAGATCCGTACCTGCATAAATAGGCGGAGGCCAAATCTAGCAATGCTTATTGATATAGGAAGGCACAAGGTAACTATAGATAGAAGAATATAAGTCCTGGTCCTGTGTTCATAATTTGGATGTTTGGAAGTATTTTTAAAAACACCAACAATCCAAGGTTAGTGATAATTGACTTCCTCTCATATTTACCTTAAAGAAACAGGAAAAAGGGAAGAACACAAGGAAGGTGAAATGGATGTGTGAAAACTGGAAGATTCCTCAGCCTCAAATCTTCAGGCAGATGAAGGCAGATTTGTTTTTAATGGTAAGAGGATAAGTAGGTCTCTCACACAGAAGGAAACAGGAGAAAAACGTATATTTTAAAATCAGGAGCGTGCTAGAGCTCCCCACCTGGTAAAAGAAGTTTAAAATAACAACAAGGGAAACTGACACACGCTAGCAGAAAGGATTGGCATATGTGAAAACAGTTTTCCAGGGAGCTGAACAGGAAACAGGTAAAGCTCCAGGACCTCTGCGGTCTTGACTCAGCTACAAGCTGGGTTGGGATATTGTCCCTCCAGGTAAAGCCTGCTGGCACTCCTCTGAGACTACGCTAATGGGATGTTATCACCCATAGATTTTCTTGAGAGTTACTACAGGATGTACTTCAGCATGAAGAAACATCCAATGTGTAGGAATCTGATGCAAGAAAAGTAGTATAACAAACTTCTGAAATATATTTGTAAATTTAATATTGACCATAAAATAATAACCAATTTCATACTTAAATTTTTTAGAAAATGAAAAAAA